ATAAATAAATAAATAAATACCTGATGCCAAGAAGCAGCAACAGCATCCTGGGCTGACAGAAAACTCTTATGACAACAGAGAGAAGCCTTCAGGCCTAATCCAATTGGCAGATGGTCTCAATCTGACAGTCTGAGAGGGAAAGACAGTCTCTCTCTCTCTCATCTTTAACCTTAATCCCATTGTTACCACTAATCGGAGATTCACTTCCTCGGCGGGTCTATTTTTGAAGAAGAAGAAGAAGAAGTGAATCTCCGATTAGTGGTAACAATGGGATATTGTGCTTTTGTATCCATGATTCAAAATACCAGGAGATGGCCTGATATCGCTGCACATTATCATGTCCCTAGGGTCAGCAGGAAAAAAATGCCAAACTTTACATAGCAAAGGGCAGCCTGAAAGTCGATGATGCTCATGTCAGCAGTCAGGATGGTCTACAGGATTCCATTTTGTACTCACTACCATTTCTTCTAGGCATTTGAAAAACAGCCTTGACAATTGCTTTTTGTTTGGGTGAAAAGTGATTAAATGATGAAAAAAAGGAGTCAGGTTCTGGGATTTTCCCCTGCTTGGTGTCTTTTTGTGAATAGTAATAAGCAGAAGAGGGATCCTGTAGATCATCTTGGCTGCTGCCATTGGTGTTGTCACCATTCAAGAGGAGGAGGCTGTTCTACACACTTCCTCTCCCCATTCCCCAATTGCCAGTCTTGCAGCAGACACTGGCTTGAGTTACTGGCAAGGAAAGGGCGCCCCCGTATGATCAAAAACACTTTCCATTTTATTATGATGCTACACATTCTGAGTTTGACTCTTATAATTTAAAATAAATTCCTGAGCTAATCCTTAGAGAAGTTTAGCACAAATTAAAGCTTGGCCAGACGTAAAGCACATGTGGATCATCAGCGACATCCGCTTTCGAGGCTGGGGAGTTTCCATGTGGTGTGGAGCTTAGAAGAAGCAGTGCCGGAGCTCACAACAGGAGGCCAATAAAGGTAAAGTATAAAGGAAGCCACTAGGCAGTTCTCGGCATATGCCAGATCTGGAAACAGCAGGCTCTTGGGCAAGGGATGGGGAGCACATCAACACAGAGAGTGCCAAGTGCTAATGCTAATGATAAATATAGCAGTCCTACTTAGATTTGTGAGGAACTTTGAAGTGTGAAAAGAATGATCGTACCACAATCCTTAAGGTAGGTGAGCATTCGTACTTGCACATTGTAGACACACACACACACGTACGCGCGCACGCGCACGCACGCACACACACACACACACACACACACACACACACACACACACACACACACACGTCCCCCTTGTTGCTTGCACCAGCACAAAGCAAACTGGCAGGAGAATTTGACTACAACACTTCCTACGGGGCCCTTGTCTTTTACTGACCCTAAAGGGGCTGGGATTGTGTAGGGCTGCTGGACAGGCCCTTTGGCACACGGAGGCCGGCCAACTTGGCTAGACATGAGGGTGGGGACGTCCCTCCGCCCTGCCTAATCTGTGGCGGGGGCTGCAAAGAGCTGGCCGTGGCTCCCCTTGGGTGTCCTCAGCAGCAGCGAGAGGCCTACAAAGTGCTTCCTGTCCATTCATAACCATCACCCCTTGAGAAGAGCTTTTCCCTATCCTTGCATGAAGGAAGGGTTTTGGCCGGAGAGGGGAGGGAACTCCGGAGGACAGTAAGGGATGAGTTAGCTGGAAGGCAAGGCCTAAGGAGAGTTACTGGCCTGGATCTCTTGAAACCCATTTTGGCATCCACCCCCACATCCTGCCAACAGTGTTAACAGGCCAGAAATAGCATCAGCATGAATTAAAGAACAAAGGGGCCTCTTTTCAGCAACTACGAATTTGTGTTCACTTCTAAAGCAAGCAACTAATGAGCACTGGGGTAAAGGAAGAGGACGGGCCTGGCTTTCACCCCCTCGTTAGCCTAGAATTACCAACATTCCTATTGTTTATTTAGTGACAGGCCGGTGCTGTATGTGTAATAACTGTGTGACAATAAATCCCTGTTTTCCCATCTACACGCCCAGGAGAAGCTTCATCTGTTGAATTTTTGCCAGCTTGCAAGCAAAAGACCTGTCCCAGGAAAAAAATGTTTTGTCAGGCCTGATGTAAGCACTAATGTATGAATGCATGGACATGCATGGACACAGCCCCAAAGCTAAGATCACATGTGGGCACTGGGATCAAAAGAGCTGGACACCCTGATTTAAAAGACCACTTTGGAAATTATTTACCATCAAGATATGTATATTTTAAGAGCCTTTGTGGCAATGACTTATCAGAAGAACTAGGTTGACGTTTTTTAATTTAACTCTCTCTATTCTGGGTTTGCAGAAGGTATAGTTTTATATTACAGAATTAATTTTTACATTGGCCAGAATCCTACGGCAATCATGTAACATAGATTGCCTAACTGATGTGCATAATTATTCCCGCTGTCTGTTGCGTGCTCAGACACACCCAGG